CCTCCCCCTCCCGAATCTGACTATCAGTAGCTTTCTGCCGATAACGACACCCCTCTCCCTCTCTCATCCACATCGGTTCCCCCTCAAACTGATCACATGGTGTCACACCCTCGAACCGGAACGACGGAAACGTCCGAGGGTTGGGTGACTTCATCTTGTAATACCATCACAGTGTATATAACTGAATCACGACAACATCATCATCACACATACAATAATACAACCGTCATTGTTTACACCAGTGTGTTGGATTACAAATTACATTTCCAAATATAAGTGTACGATGATAGCAAAATACATCAAAATCCATGAGTTCTTGAAGGCCAACCTGCTTAACGATTTCCTGAGAATACAAGTTATTTTGAAAATGGTCAACATATATAATGTTTGTGAGTTCATAAACATATTTGTATGAAAAGTTTGTATCACTTTGTAAACACCAGAAAATCCGATATTTTTTTGTAAAAGAGATAAATGGTTTGAACGCTTTGTATCAAATCTTGTATTAAAGCATGCGTGTTTCTGTTTTGAAAATGTATAAAGAGTGTATTCCAGAATTCCTATGTTTTCTGTTGTAGGTAAAAGGTAATGTATAATGTAAGTTTTCCCAGAAAACCCGATATTTTCTGCGTGTAAAGGTGTTGTGGTCTTAAACCCAAAGACCGTAAAATAGTGTTTGTATAGAATTGTAACTGTAGAAACGTATATGTATTCCGTAAATTTTACAGTGGAGTTAATTTTTATGTGAGTCGTTATAACCATACTTGATATGACTGATCTGCCTGTCATGACGTTTTTCAGGCGTCGCTTGTTTAAGGTAAGACATTTGTCACCCTAGACTGGCCTAGTCTAGCTGTATCGAACAACTCAGGTGCGGGGCTGTCAACCCCGTATAGATCTATACACAAACTCTCGCTCTCCCTCCAGGAGCCTCTAGTTATAACTACAAGACTAAAGGGTGTACACTAGGTAGGTACGAATGAAAGAACGTCTAACAAGAACCTTAACTAAATTTACGCGAACAGTGTATCACATTATTTATCGTTTCAAAATAATGTTTCCGTGTATGTATTTAGGTTATAAGGTCCAATAAACATGAAATGAATTTACAAGACTTATCAAACATGTAAATTGGTCACTAAGGCCCAATGACATGTGATGAAAGTATCAGACCCAATAAGCATGTAACTGGATCACTGAGGCCCAATAAACATGTAATATATATTTCAGGCCCAATAAACATGTAAATGGACCACTAAGGCCCAATAAACATGTAAGGTATATTTCAGGCCCAATAAGCATGTAAATTGACCACTAAGGCCCAATAAACATGTAAGGTATATTCCAGGCCCAATAAGAGTGAAAATGACATAATTAGTCCGTTTGTTATTACGTTGTTTGTTTTAGCTCAATTGTTTACCAAAATGACATAAAAGGTTCACTTTTTGTAATGATGACATTTTTGGCCCATCAAGCCGAAAGTTTACAATTAAGGCACATCTTTGGAAAAAATGACACTTTAGGTCCCTTAAGACCAAAAGTTTACATTTAAGGGCTTATTTTAAATAAAACAACATTTTTAGCCCACTTTTGTTAGAAATAACATTTTCGGCCCAATCTTTGATGAAAATTGACATTTGCGGCCCAAATGTATAGAAATTTACATTTTGGGCCCAAGTTTAATAAAATTGACATTTTCAGCCCATTTAACCAAAAATTTATATTTTGGCTCAAATTTGTTTAAAATGATAATTTAATCCACAAAGGTCAAAAGTTTACAAATTAAGCCCATGAAACCGTGAAGGCCCAATTTAAGCCCATTTTGTGAAAATTAACACTTTTGGCCCTTTTAAATTCATGAATATCATAAAGATCCATTTTTATTTAAAAATGACTCTTTTAGTCCCTTAAAAATTGTGAATTAACATAAAGGTTTTACTTTTTGTATTTTTGTCAAATAAGGCCCCTCTTACGGTTTTGTTTAGCTTTTAACATTCTTAACATGTTTTATCCTTACAATCTCATGGTATGTGCATAAGTGATTTAGGTTGCAAATATCACCAAGTTTTGGTAGTAATTTCGAGTTTCATGAAATTTCAACACAAAATCACAACATATAATATGAAAAACACACATAAATATGAACAAATACATAGATCTAACACAAAGCAACTTGTATCCTCCCCTAAAACATAGTAAAAACCGAAAACAAGGGGGTATGAACTCACTTTGGTTGATAGATTCGGTTTTTGAAGGAGATTGAAGGAGATTTCGGCCTAGCTTGCTTCTTGGGAGGAGTTTTCGAACTTAAGGAGTTCTAAGGAGCAAGAGTCACGAAATGGAGTGCTTATGAGTGAAAGATTCATCATAAAAATGAAGTTAAACATCTTGAATAGGAAGTAACTTACCAATATTGAAAGGGCTTTGGTGAAAACTTATTGAAAATTTACACCACCTCATAATTTTTCTTGAAGGAAAATGGAGGAATCCTTGAAGATTTAGAGAGAAGTTTAGAAATGAATTCAAGTGTGAAATGGAGAGGGGAGGCCGAGAATAAGAAGAGAAGAGAGAGAATGTGGTGTGGTTTTTGCATGGTGGTCTTTAGTTGATGCATGGAGACATGTGAGATTATGACATTGTTATTTGGTGGTTTATAATGAAGTGTCACTCTAATTACCCCATATTTGAGTTTTTCTTTCTCTTTTTTTTGTATGTGGGCCGAGAATTGGAGAGAAGATGAAAGAAATTTGGATGTTGGGCTAGTATTGAATATCAACCAAAATTATAAGGCCCAATATGGAAGTTTTCGGCCCATTGGACTCATATTTGAGTTTGCGGCCCAAATGAGGCAAATATATGGGTTTTTCGGCCTATATATTTAAAGAAGGTGGTTTTAGGACCAATAAGGCCCATGAAGAGTCTTATGGCCTAAAATTCTATAGTGTAATGAATGTGGGTCCAACTAGGGCCCAAATGTGTATTCTTAACCCAAAATAATTAGGTTGTGGGTTTATTGGTCCATTAGGCCCAATAAATGATTCCTGGCCCAAAAAGATGTTTGAACTAGGAATTTAGGGTTACAACCCAAAGTAGAGTGAACATAGTGCATTGAACTAGGTTTAGGGCTTCACGAATGAGTTTTTGATTTGAATAGTTTTTTTTGAAATGAATAACATGTATGACATCAATCTTAGAGTTTCAAGATACATCAAGAGTTGACCATACATAGATAGAATTTCCTAGCCAAAAATGCTACTTGACTACTCGCTCTCGTACTTGTTCCTTAAGAACGCGTACCATTCTTAATCTTTTTGCTACTTCCGACATCTCCCTTATCCCCATATCCACAGCTCATGTCATGACTTATCCAAATTGGAAGCTAGCTATGGATGCATAAATGTCAGCTCTCGTCGACAATCATACGTGGGATATTGTTCCTCTTCCTCCCAATGACAACATTGTTGGTTATCGATGACTCTACCGTCACAAATTTGACTATCACGGTAACCTTAATCGTTACAGAGGCAAATTAGTTTCTCAAGGTTTCTCTCAACAACTCGGTCTAGATTTTCATGACACTTTGAGTCCAGTTGTGAAACCTGCTACCATTCACACTGTTCTTAGTATTGTTGTCTCCCGTTACTGGCCCATTCATCAGCTTGATGTTAAAAATGCCTTTCTTCATGGTGACTTTACCGAATAGGTTTATATGAAACAACCACCATGCTATGTTCATCCCGCTCATCCATACCACGTGTTCCACTTACGTAAGGCCTTATATGGCCTCAAACAACCCCCCCGTGCCTGGTACCAACGATTTGTTGTATATATCTCTTCGCTCGGGTTTACCACTAGTCGCTTGGACACCTTTCTTTTTCACTTTCCACCGTGCTTCGAGACCATCTATCTTCTTCTTTATGTGGATGATATCATTCTCACGGCTTATAACCCATCCCTTTTCACGTGAGTCATTACTCGACTCTCATATGAGTTTTCTATGATGGACTTAGGTCTTCTGTCTTTTTTTCTCGACATTCCTGCTACTCGTTCTACAGATAGTCTGTTTTTGTCACAGACTGCCTTTGGCAAGGAGATTCTATCTCGAGCTGATATGACCTCCTGCAACCCGTGTAGCACTCCTATGGACACCAAACCGAAACTCTATTCCTCAAGAGATCCGGTTTCTGATCCCACCCTGTATAGAAGTATAGTTAGGGCTCTTGAGTATGTGGCTTTCACTCAACCAAATATTCCTTATGCAGTTCAACAAATTTGTTTGTACATGCATGATCCGTGTGAACCCCACTTTCTAGCTCTTAAGTGTATCTTGCGTTATCTTCAGGGTACACTTCATCATGGTCTTTTCATTCGTCTGTCTCATGTCGATCGTTTGGTTTCTTATTCTGATGCTGACTTTGCTGGTTGTCCCTTGACACGCTGATCTACCTCTGGGTTTCTTGGTCTTCCAAACGTCAACACATCGTCTCTCAGTCTAGTGCCGAAGCTGAGTATCAGGGGGTAGCTAATGTTGTTGCCGAAACCACTTGGCTCCAAAATCTCCTTCTTGAACTTTCGTGCCCTCTAACTCGATCTACGATCATGTTTTGTGACAATGTGAGTGTCATGTACTTAGCTTCTAACCCAATTCAACACCAAAGAACCAAACATGTGGAAATAGACTTACATTTTGTTAGGGAACGCGTTGTCATTGGTCAGGTTTGCGTGTTGCATGTTTGTTCGGCTCATCAGTTTGCATATATCTTCACCAAAGGACTACCTACACCATTATTTTTTGGATTTTCGTGACAATTTAAACATTCGGGAACCACTCAAACTGAGGGGGAGTGTTAATGTACCTATTTATTTATTTTAGTGTATGTTTGGTATACATGTATATCATAGGGGTCTTTTGTGTATTTTATATATTATACTTTGTATATATACTGATGATAATACAATGCAAACCCTAAGGGGATTATTTCCACAAACATACACCACTGATGTCAATGATCGTGGCACCTTTTCAGCACCACCCGACCTTCATGGTGGTGCGCATAATTGTTGTCCTCCTCCAGCTACTCTCGTATCGTTGTTATAACTTATAAGTCAACATTTTAAAATACCGTTATTTAATCGAAATCAGAAGATGATATATCTGCTTAGGTTTTTTCATTCATTCACAAAACAACATAATTTAAATGGAATTAAAATAAATAAAATATATATATATATATATATTATATATATATATATATATATATATATATATATTAAATAAAATCATTTTATTTTTAGTTTTTAGGTGGATGAATTAAGTGGAAATATGAACACATAAACCCAATCTCTATGGTGGTTGGTCTAAAACCCTAGAGTCTCTATCGCAGCTCCTCCTTCCCTCCACCGTCTTTTACAATCGGCCTCCTTCCATCGCAGCCCCCTCCATCGGCTATACCTCCTGGTTCGCTCTCTCTCTCTCTCTCTCTCTCTCTCTCTCTCTCTCTCTCTCTCATTATTCCTAAACTCTTCAAATAACAAGTCAGGTGGTTCAATCTCTGCCTTCTTTTTCCAATTTACATGATTTCAATCTCAGCCTTTTCTTTGATAACTCTTTAGCCCTTTGTGATAACCACGAGATTAATTGGACAGTTTCATGTACCTGTTGATCAGTTCTGGAGTTTTGATTTTTCTGCTTTGTTGTTTTTAGTTATATATCTGCCTTATAGCTGACTAGCTGTTCCCCTAACTTATAAAAACTCCTTATTCCATCTAATTGCCCTTAACCTAATAAAACCTTACTCATTATCCTTACGATTACAGCATCGCCTCTCGCTATCTGCTCCTCACGTCAACTCTCCCCTGCTCGTCGTCGCCTCCCCTGTGAAGCCACCGGCCGGAGACCTTCAATAGCCACAACTCCGTCGCACCCAACCCCAGGTTCTATTTATCTTCCTTCCTTTTTTTTTCTGCTTTCTTTGAACTTGCCAATTGATGTTGGTCGATTTCTTTTTATCCAAAAGGTGTTCTTTTTCTTGTGATTTCCTTTTTCACATAAGAAACTTCCGTAGTGTTTTTTTTTTTTTTTTTTAATTTTTTTTTTTAATATCAATCTGCAAGTTCAAGTTCTTCTCTGGAATTCTGTTAGGTGATCTCTTACTTTCAGAGATAATTGATTTGCTTTTTGTTTGCTGCTACTGATTTGCTAAATGTGTTTTCTGTTCAAATGTATGAAGTCTGATGTGTACAGTGTTTTGTAAAAGAGGGTATGTGTTTGCAGGCAAGCTGTTTGATGAAATGCCTGAGAGGGACACTGGGATAGTACTTTATTAATATGCATGTTTTCACATATCAATTATAATATACAGGTCTTATTGTTTAACTTTTGAATTTTGATGTTGGTAACTTGGGAATTAACAATAGATGCTACTTATTTCCTCCTAGTGTTTTTAAATGACGTTCTTAAGATGCTTATATGTAAAGGAAGCCCTTTTTAGTCATTTTACACATATAAACAGTTTGTTTACAGAAAAAGCTGTGTAATCCACAATCAACAAAGCATGGCAGGAGGGAAAATAAGGAAGGAAAAAACCCCACGTGGATCTAGTGGCTCTTCAAATCATTATCAAGGAGGAATTCAATTCCACAAGTCAAAAGGTCAACATATCCTCAAGAACCCTTTACTTGTTGATTCCATTGTCCAAAAAGCTGGAATCAACTCCACAGATATAATCCTTGAAATTGGTCCTGGAACTGGTAATCTCACCAAGAAGCTTCTAGAAGCTGGAAAATCAGTTATTGCTGTTGAACTCGATCCACGTATGGTTCTCGAATTACAACGTCGTTTTCAAGGAACCCCGTTTTCTAATCGACTCAAGGTAACAATTTTTTTGTAAACAAAACGGTAAAATCGTTATTTAACATTTTTTTTTTCAATTTCATAGGTTATACAAGGCGATGTATTGAAATGTGATCTCCCATATTTTGACATATGTGTAGCCAACATTCCATACCAAATATCATCTCCACTAACATTCAAATTATTAAACCACAAACCTTCATTTCGATGTGCAATAATTATGTTTCAAAGGGAATTTGCAATGCGATTAGTAGCTCAACCTAGTGACTCCCTTTATTGTCGCCTCTCAGTCAACACCCAACTTTTAGCGCGTGTTTCACACCTACTAAAAGTTGGGAAAAACAACTTCCGGCCACCACCAAAAGTTGACTCATCTGTGGTTAGAATCGAGCCGAGAAAACCACCACCCGTGGTTAACTTCAAAGAATGGGATGGGTTAGTGAGGATTTGTTTCACTAGAAAAAACAAAACCCTAGGTTCGATTTTTAGGCAAAAACGTATACTTTCGATTATGGAGAAAAACTATAAAACACTTCAAGCGTTGGGGGTTCCTCAGGCGGCGGATGTGGCGGTGGATATGGCGGTTCTTGGTGATTCCGGCGAGATGGAGGAGGAGAGTGAGGATGAGGATGAGGAAATGGATATGGAAGATGGGGAGACAAAGTCGGATTTTAAAGAGAAGGTTTTGGGGGTTTTGAAAGAAGGGGAGTTTGAATTGAAGAGATCTTCGAAACTTGCTCAAGAGGATTTTATGCATTTGTTGTCTTTGTTCAACAAAGTGGGGATTCATTTTTCTTGAAGGGTTTAATTTTGTATGATTTTTTAATTTGAGTAAACCAGTTGTGATTATTTTTCGGATTATATGTTGTTGGAATTTTGGTTAGTGGGGTGTTTAGATGTGTTGCAATTTAAACTATTGTGATTTGTAGTTTTTGATTGGTGAAAGTTTTGTAAAAGCTAATTATATCGGGTTAAAGCGTTTTAAAAGAATTTATAGTATGAATTAACTACTAAGAGTTTGTTTTTTATGTGTTTTTGAAAGAGTTTATATAAGTTTGTTTTTTATGTGTTTTTGAAAGAGTTTATATATAGGTTGTTTCTGTTAAACCAAATGGTATAAAGCAGAACCGAAAATCGATCCAAATAGTCTAACTAATTAAATTGAATCTTTTGTATTTTATATCTATATGTAGTTTTGATTTGTTTTCATGCTTGATAAATATTCAATATGAAAAGTAAAAGTCATGTATTTCATTAAATATATTTAAAAAATAAGTCCAATTTCGAGTATAAGTTATAATTTGTTTTCGGCATTCATTTATACTTGTTGCGTCCTCCATACATGACTGTTTAGATTGAAACTTTATTTTAATATTTTTGTGGTCCATTGATGTGGTTTGATCATCGTTGTGCTTTATGTGAACCGATGGTCCATAAGACCATTCGTTATACCAAACACTAACCATTATAATGGTGAGTGTCACGTCATTACCACTAACTTTCATTAAACCTATGAGATACCCACCATTAACCACTCCGCTTCACATCATTTTTTTTATTATTTTTAATTCAAAAATACAATAAAATTACATTTTTTTGAAAATAAAAAAAAACATTGAATTTTTTAACTACTTTTTCATTAATTATAAAAATAAAAACACAACTTCAAACTACATTACTTAATTAACCTAGAATAAAAAAAACATTACATTAACTTAAATAACTTAAATTAAAAAAAAACAAACACTAGTAAAAAAAAACTAATATTTGTCCATGTTGAGTTGGTACAAATGATCCGCGACATCTTCTCGAAGATTGAAACACGTTTCGCTGTTATGAATTTCAACAACTCGTGATAAAAGTTCATTTGTTCCGGGTACGAACTCTTCAAGCGGGATGACGACGTCGTCCAGATCATACGTGCAAATCGCTCGACCTTGATCTTCAATGATCATATTATGCATTATAATACATGCAAGGACCATTTTTTTTAATTATTTCCTTATCCCAAAGTCGTGTAGCGTATTTCACTACATGCCATGTCTGCTTGAGGACTCCAAATGCCCTCTCGATATCCTTCCTCGCTGATTCCTGCCTCTTTATGAACAACTTTGTCTTTTCACTTTGAGGAACCGAATATGCCTTCATAAGTGTAGAATAATTCGGGTATATCCCATCACAAAGGTAGTAACCGTATTTGTAGGAATATCCGTTCACCGTGAACGTCATATAAGGTGTTTTGCCGGTCCAAAGATCGTTGAAAAGTGGAGACTGACCAAGAACGTTAATGTCGTTGTTAGACCCCGCGTCTCCAAAAAAAGAAATGTTATATCCATAAATCATTAGATGCAACAACTTCTAGGATTATACTTGGTTCACCTATATCTCCTCGAGTGAATTGACCACGCCATACAATTGGACATTTTTCCCAAGCCACATGCATACAATCTAGACCGCCAAGCATACCCGAAATCCATGCCTCTCTTCATGAGCCGAATATAATCTCTCAATATCCAGGGGAGTAGGTTTACGCAAATATTGTTGGTGAAAAACCTCATACACACATGCACAAAACCAATCTACACAATCAACTGCGGTCCTCTCGGATATTTTCAAGTATTCGTCAGATGCATCAAATGCTATATCGTATCCCAAATACCTAAGCACAGCCGAACACTTTTGTCTACTACTAAAACCCATTCTTCCTCTAGCGTCCGGTTTTTGTTTGAAAAAATCATAACGGACTTTTAAAGCATTACTAATACATAAAAAATATAGCATTATTTAAACGGAAACGACGTTCGAATGCGTCATCATTGTAAAGACAATTATCGGCGAAGTAATCACATACCAATAAGTCGTGTGCGGCTTGGCGATCACGATTGACGACCGCCCTTGTACGAGCAACATTCGAACTTTCTTCATCGTGAATGTGTTGCAAAATATTGAAGAATGTCGAGATGAATTCCTCGTCATCATCCGAGTAAATTTTTTTTAACAATGCCAAATCCTCCATGTGTTTTTTGGTTTATAGAATGAGAGTAAAATGTGATGAAATGTGAAGGTTTTATTAGATTTATATAGGTATTGAGTTTTTGAAAAAAAAAATATTTAAAACTTAAAAAATGACCGTTGAACGGTCAAAAGAAGGAAAATGTTTTGATTTGGCGTTTGAGTTCGTCGTCTAGAACACACGGAATATAACGACCATGATCGACCACGACCGGCCGGGATGGTGTGCACGGTCGTGGTCGTGGTCCACCTCAACCACGAAACCCTTCGTGCAATGTATACCAGATGGTCTAATGTGTTGCGTCATCCCAACAAAAGCAATTCGGTTTTGGTAAAAAACCGAATGGTTTGAAATCGGATTTTAGCCTTCTATCTAGCAAATTTGTAATCGGCAACAACTAGGTTTATGGATAGGGTTATCTTTAAAAAATTCATTATATTCGTTTTTTTAAATAGGAAAGAACACGTGGTAAAAATTTTAAATCATTTTTTTGTCTGGTAACTTATATTTCACCCGGTTACAAATCTTACATGGCCTTAAGTGATATGAATATTGATTGATTGAAGGAGGCGGTGTCTCATTAAATTAAAGTTTTTATCATCGACTGTTATAATAAAAGAGGGCTTTTACTTTCACGCAACCATAGTCACGAACGTCTGGTAAAAATCGGTCAAACATCTCATATGAACTATAGTTTGAAAACGTGAAGGATATATTCGAAGGACCAATATGTATTTAAAATTGGTTTTTGGATCGTTTTAAATTGGTTTCCGTTAATTCAATCCCAAACTGGTATTAATGGTTAAAACGTTAAACCGTTTGAATCAGTTTAAACTGGACCACTTTTGGTTAAACGATTTTCCTAAAAAAAATAAAAATTGATTCATTTAAAATACTTGTTCTTAGGTTTACAATAAATTTATTTAATTGGGTATTTATTATTACGTAAGTATATGATTTAATAGTATAAGTTTTGACTCATACTCTAAAGCAAATTCTAATTTAAAATATATACATATCTTCAAAATATATGACGCATACATCAAACATTATGTGCCGAATTGATCCGTACCTCACAAGTGGGATTGGGTACACATGGCCAAACACACCTTATCCAAACCCTTAACCAATGGAATATGCGTGAATGCCTTTTCATTATGTAACACGGACAGGAGGAACTGATGTTATGTTAAGTATGCATTATGCTGTCAAGTTACTTTTTTAATTAAGCTTAACATGATGTTAAGGAGTGACAATGTTAGGGAGTAACGTTGTGTCTTAATATGTTACATCATTTCTTTTAAATCATTATTATTTTTTGTTTTTTTAAGAACTAATAATTAAAAACATAACATTTTAATATTAAAATACTTAAGTTACAAAACATCATTTATGTACGCAATCTATGTTATTCCAAAAGGTGTCCATGAACATCTTTTGATTTTGAAAATTAAATAAATATTTTAGTGTACATATTTCAATTGGACAACCCTTAAATTTTCTGGATGGATATTCTTATAATTATTAGAATTACATAATTATAGTTTTTGAGTTAAACAAAACAAAATAAAATTGTATCATTAGTTGGTTAACAAACAAATAAAATCTTTTTGTATAGGTATCTAAATATATTTTGAGCTTATAAGCCTTTAAGTTAACAAATATAGGAAAATATAATTTGGTTGATGAGAAAAATATTAAAAAAAAAAGCTAAAAACCCTAAAAAACATGTTAATTACATTATTTGGTCTTTAAAGTTTCTCATACACAACGTGAAGATCAAGATTCTCTGTAACATCTAACTTCAGGATGTTTTTAATTTCGGGATAGCAGACCGTAATTTGATCGAGTAAGGTCTTAGGCTTCAAGTGAATAAAGTTTAGACCTTATTAGATGCTGATAATGTTGGTTAAGGGATTTAAGCCCATGAAAGTGTGAACTGGAGTCAAATAAAATGAGAAAAATGATATTTCAGACTATTTGCATGAATTAATGAATTTAGTTCGGTATATTTTAAGTCAAAACTAACTGGATAAGATTGTGAGGCTCGTCAATACCTTCTCGTGCATATAAAGATCACTAAAATCGGGTTAAGAACGAAGAAGTTATGATTGTTTGAAACTGAAGCTGAAAACTAATAAATCCAAAATTTATCTGAGAAGTGTGGGACCCCCTTTAATGAGCGCGAGGCGCCTCCGACCCATTGGGTTGCACGTTTTTGGGTTTATTTGGTATTTAAAGGCACTTAAGCCTCTAGGGATGGCTTGTTCTTAGCCTTCTTCATCCTTGGATGAACCCTAGAGAAACCCTAACTGTAACACCCGGTTCTAGGTAAACACTTTTCTTGAATCTCTGATCGAATTCCTTGGAGTTTAACCTTGGTCACGACGTGAGCACTTATTAATGGTGTATCAGGCCGATAGTTCGAGGAGACCCACTACCGACCCAGTACTCACCAGGTCGCCGCTACAAGCATTGCCACTTGTTTCGGACAAATACGAATTCGAATACATCGTACGCAAGCATCAAAATCGTAACCCAGAAAATATGCCAAATATTATGAAGCAAATAAAATAAACAAGGACAAGAAGCGCGACCGCTCGCAGACCGGGTAATGGATGGAGGACCGGTCTAAGAAATGGGTTTTACTAGCCACAGATAACCTATAAATACTCCCGGAGACATGATAACCAGGCAGGTAAGTAAGGGAACATATATTCCTTAACACAAAAGCAACATCAAAAAGTCGCAATCTAACTTAGGCATCAGAGAGCTATATCGGGGTCCAACCCTCGGTATGGCTGCCTAATCTAGTTGTTTATCTTACACAGAGTGAATTTCGGGACGCTTATTGGACGATACCCTTTCGGGTGAATTCCCAAGGCTACAAGACATCACATATCAAGCCAATCTATTATCGACTGATTAGTACTAGCATGCAAATATACAAGCTCATACA